GCCATTTCAATAGGTTTGGGGTATCTCATTGTGATTTTAATTTTGGTTTCCCAAATAACTAATCATGATCCACCTTTCTTGCCTTTCATGCTTATTTGCCACGTGTACACATTGTGCCTGTTCATAGCTTTCACCCAGTTTTTGAGTTGTTTTCTCATTGTTGAGTTTTGAATGCTCTTCATGTATTTTGGATGCAAGTTCTTTGGTGGATATGTGTGTGATAAAAATATGTGAACATATTTTTATCTCAGCCTGTAGCTTGTCTGAAAAGATGAGTATCTTTCGGCTAGGTGTGGTAGTTCATGCCTGTAATCCCAGCACTTTGGGAGGCCAAGGTGGGTGGATCACAAGGTCAGGAGTCCAAGATCATTCCTGGCCAACATGGTGAAACTCCATCTCCACTTAAAAATACAAAAATTATCAGGGTGCAATGATACACACCTATAATCCTAGCTACTTGGGAGGCTGAGGCAGGAGAACTGCTTGAACCAAGGAGGCAGATGTTGTGGTGAGCCGAGGTCGCTTCACTGCACTCCAGCCTGGGTAACAGAGCGAGACTCTGTCTCAAAACAAACAACAACAACAACAACAATCCCAGTATCTTTCAAAGAACAAGGTTTTAAATTTCATTGAAGCATAATTTACCAGATTTTCTTTTATGGATGGTGTTTTAGTGTTATATACTAAAGCCTTTGCTTAAATTTAACAAGAATTTCTCCTAAGCTTTTTTCTATACTTTTTCTAATTTTATATTTTATATTTAGGTTTATGATTCATTTTGAATTCATTTTTAAGAGTGAGATGTAGATATATTGCATTATTTCAAAACCATTGTAGAAACAAGTATGCCTTTGCACTTTTGTCGAAATTCAACTGATCATTTTTGTGTGGGTCTACTTTTGGATGCTCCATATTATTCCACTGATCTTTGTGTCTACACTTTCACCAATATGGTAGTGTCCTGATTGCTGTAGAATTATAATACGTCTTAAAATCAGGTGGTATGAGTCCTCTAACTTCATTCTTTGTTTAAAAAACTGTTTTTGCCAATTTGTATACATTTTAGAATGCGCTTGTTAATTTCTACAAAATTTATTTTGGAATTTTGATTAAGATTGTGTTAAATCTATGGATAAATTTAAGAAGATTGACTCTTATTTATTTATTTATTTATTTATTTATTTATTTTGAGTGGAATCTCGCTCTGTTGCTAGGCTAGAGTGCAATGGTGTGAACTCGGCTCACTGCAATTTCCACCTCCTGGGTTCAAGCGATTCTTGTGCCTCAGCCTCCTAAGTAGCTGTAGTTATAGGCACGCTGTACCACACCCAGCTAATTTTTGTACCTTTAGTAGAGATGGAGTTTTACCATGTAGTTTTATTTTCTTATACTATTTTGGTATCAGATTTGTGTTAGTTTCATAAAATGAGTTAGGAAGCATTTCTCCCTTTTGAATTTTTAGGGATAAATTGTGTAGATATTTTCCTTCAGTATTTGGTAGAATTTTCCAGTGAAACCATCTGGACTTGGAATTTCCTTTGTTGGAAATTTTTAGCTAAGAATTCTATTTTTTTAAAAGAATGTGGAACTATTCAGGTTATGTATTTTTTCTTGAGTGACTTTTGATAGTGTCTTTTGAAAATTTATCTATTTTATTTAAAGTTGTTGAATTTACAGGCAGAGTTATTAACAGTATTTCCTTATGATCCTTCTAATATCTGTAGTGTCTGTAGGAAAATCACCTCTTTCATTACTACTCTTGGCAAGTTGTGTCCTTTCTCTCTCATCCTTTCTTTCTCTCCCTCTCTCCCTCCCTCCCTCTCCACAATATCACTTCTTCCATACTCCCTCTTTTGGTTAGCCTGGATAGAAGTTTATCAATTATATTGATCTTTCCAAAGAAATAATTTTTGGTTTCATTGATTTTGTTATCTTGTCCTGTTTTTGATATATCTCCATATTTGATTTCAGGTATTTTTATTCTTATCTTTATTATTTTCTTCCCTGTGTTTGCTTTTTGTATAGTTTGCTCTTATTTTTCTAGTTTCTTAGGTGAAATCTTAGATTATTTACTTGAGAGCATTCTAGCATTTAGAAAATGTAACTCTATACAATTTCCTCTAAGCACTGCTTTACCTGAATCCACAAAATTCAATCTACTTTACTTTCACTTTCATTTACTTCAAAACATTTTATTATTTCCTTTGAGATGTCCTTTTTGACTCATGGGTTATTTAAAAGCATGTTTTAAGTTTCCAAAATTTGATAATTTTCCAGATATCTGCTACTGATTTCCATATGGTCAGAGAACATACTTTTAATGATTTGAACCCTTTTAAATGTGTTGAAATTCATTTCATGGCCCAGTATATGATCTGTCTTGGTGAATGATCCAAATGCACTTAAAGCAAATATATATATTTTGCAGTTGTTATTTGGAGTTTTTTTTACAGATGTCATTTGGTCAAATTGTTTAATAGTGTTTTGAGTCTTCTATAGCCTTGCCATTTTCTACTTGTTCTATTGATTAGTGAAAGAGGAGCATTAAAAGTCTCCAACTGTAACTGAAGATTTGTCTACCTTTCCTTTCTGCTTTTGCTTCATGTATTCTGAAGCTCGATTTGAGATATATGTGTATTTAGAATTTTTATATATTTTTGGTGAATTGGCCCATTTATAACTACATAATTTCCTCTTTATCATGGGTAATTCTTCTTCTTCCAAAGTCTACTTTTTCTACTGTTAATATAATATGCCAGCTTTCTTTTGATTGCCATGTGTATACTGTATCTTTCCTCACTCTTTTACTTTTAACCTATCTATATCATTAGGTTTAATGTGAGCTTCTTGTAAATAGCATATAGGTGGGACTTTACAACATTCAAACTGGATTGATAGTTCTTTCAGCATTAAAAAAAATATTGAGATATTGTTCCAGTCTCTTCTGGTTTACATGATATCTGATGAGAAATCTAAAGTCATCCAAATCACTTTCCACTCTGTGTAATGTGCTGATTTTCTAAGGTGCCTTTCAAGACTTTTTCCTTTATATTTGGTTTTCATCAGTTTGATCACTTTTTTTCCCCAGTGGTCACCCCTTTCCTGTCCCTCTGGCAGGAATCGAGGTGGGAGTTTCTCCTGCAGCTTTTCCAGTCCACGTCCACTTCACAGTTTCCAGAGCTGCTCTTTCCTGGAGTATAAGCCAGGAGATGCTCACTGCCATAGTAACTATCCCTTGAGTTTTGATTTCTCTCTTCAATTTTCCTGATATAATTTATTTTTCAGAGTCCTTATATGTTTGCATCATGATTCTGTCCAGGGTTGCTAGTTACGATGAGTGGGAGAAATAGGGTGGAGTGTGCTTACTTAGCCAGAACAAGCAGCTGGAAGAGTGACTTTCAGTGAACCTGAAAAGAAGGAACGTAAATCTCCATGGCTTGGAGTGGAGAGAATATGTAAAATAGTAAGACAAGGGCCTAATCCCCAACCCCTGGTCAGGAACTGGTAAAGGAGACCTATTAATTTGACCAGAGATGCTTTTAGGGTCTGTGGATGGATACAGGGTGCTGTAAGTGGCTAGTACCTTTCAGCCAAGAACTAGAGCCTGAAAATGTCTGTCTCTCTGATTCACCACTCCCCTGTCTTTGGGTACCTGATAAACAACTTTATACGTGAAGCATTCACTGCAGTGAGTATCAGAGTATAAACAAAAGGGTTTGGAATTGAGATGACACATTTTGTTTAATATAACATGGAAAAAATAGAAGGTAACAGACAAGATGATTGTAATTGTGTTTCATGTTTTCTGTGATTGCATCTGGATGAATAATAAGCAATAAATGGACAGAGTTGTCTAAAAATTAAATTGCTCATGTTGGGGGAGTGAAGGAAATGAGGTTGTGAGTGTCTTTTTGTTTTATTTTTCAAAAATTTCCTTATGTGGCTGCTATGGCTTGAATGTCCACTCTAAAAGTCATGTTGAAAGTTAATCCCCAACGTGGCAGCATTGAGAAGTGGAGTCTTTAAAAGGTAATTGGGTCACGAGAGCCCATATGAATTAATGAATTAATGAGTGAATGAATTACTGTGTTACCATGGGAGTGGAACTGGTGGTTTTATGAAAAGAAGAGAGACCCCAGTGAACACAGTTAGCCCTCTCACCATGTGATTCCCCGTGCCACCTCAGGACTGTAGAGACCCCACCCATAAGAAGGCCCTCATCAGATGTCCCCTTGACCTTGAACTCTTCAGCCTCAATAGAAAATGGAGTAAGAATGGCTCTATGAGCTTTTCAAATGTAATATAACATGTAAGAATAATTCCTGGACTATTGCCTGATAGTCATATTTTTCCCCATTCTATTTCTGTTACTTATTTGGGAAGGTTTTCCTGATTCTCACCTCTCACCCCAACCATCCCTGTTGCATATTCCTATATCACTGAATTGATGACACTTTAGTGTACTGTAAAGTACAATAACGATGACAACTTTACAGTTAATGCTTTGATTTTCTGTCTTCTCTGGTAGACATGGGCTTTTGCAGGTGAGACTAGCGTATTTTCTTGCTTACTGATACATCTTTAGTACATAGCTAGTGCCTGGTCTATGGTAGGTATCTAGTAAATATTTATTGCCTAACTACTCAAGTCTCCAAACAAAAGAGAACACCAAAAAGTGAAGATTTTTATTTTACATTGCATGTGGTTCCTTTGGTCTCAGGCACTTTTGGAACCCACACCTCACTTTCTCTTTGTCTTGACAGACACTGTCCAAATTTTTGAGCCAACCCAAAGCTGGATGGCACGTTGCCTTGAGTTGGCAATTAACCAAAGGGAAGGCCCAATGATGAAAGAATACTCCACAGAAAAGGAAGCTCAGAACTCGAGTTTTGGCTAACGCTGCCATTGTCAAGAATGATCTGAGGAAACCCAAGGGATTATGGCTGAAAGGATAAGTCCTTTCTGTCCCTACTCCTATGAGATACCAAATTCAAACACACTGGTGCTAATTCAAGTGCACTTTAATTCACTGTAGGGCACTTTGTTTTAGAAGCAAGTACAGGAAATCAACCAAAATACAAGCCACACATTACAATGGCAGGCTGCAAATGGTTCTGACCCAGACAACTCTAGCATGTAAGAGTTAGAAGAGCCCTTCAACATATCTATTCCAAACACCTTCCTCCAAAGTTGATACAGATTTTCTTAGCAACAGTCAAGATGAGAAATCACCCAGTCTTCACCTGAGCACTTAGAGTGATGGTGAACTTCCCATCTTTTAAGACAGCTCATTATCTTTCTAGAGAAATCTCTTCTAGACTTGGTAAACATGAGGTCTATATGCTGACACTCTTGGCCACACACTTGTGGCAGGAATCACCAATTAATCACAATGTTTTTTTTTCCTCCTACCAAGCTTTAGAATCATTCTCAATGTTGTTTTTCATTTGGCTAGAGGTCAGTCCCTGCCGCAGTTACTGGAAGTTAAGTCTTCCACACATTGCTCTTCTTCATGTTCTCTGTGAGCACACAGGACTCTAATAGTCTCGGGCGAGGACGGCGTCAGCCCTGAAGTCTTGAGCCCATTCCTGGAACACAGTTCGGGAAAGACAAAATCTGCAGGCTGGTGAGTTGGTATTAGGTTCTCCAAAGCCTGAGATTTAAGGCCAGATATTGGAAAAGGCATTTCTTAGGCACTATGAACAATCTTTCTACTGAAGTCCGAAAGCCTATATCTGGGATGAAAGCCTAGGGTCATTGGGGCACTGGGACTCAAGCTGAGGACAGGTCAAGTTTGCTTGTAGTAAAGCTGAAACTAGAACCTCAATCTGTGGTTTCCAATCCATTGAGTCCACTGTCAGACCAAATGGTTTTTTTTTTTTTTTTTTTGATAAAGCATTAACATACTATTTCCCCAATTTCATTTTGAAATCATGGGTTGAGTCATGATGAAGGCAGATCATCAACCTACATGGAAGAACATTGGGTCTACTGAAACATAGTGATTCCTTGCAGCTTCCAGAAGAGTTTGGGAGATTCAGTTGTGAATAATGCTAACACAGTTGCAATGTTAGATTAGTGCAGGTTTACCTGTAAATACTTAATAATATAAAAGACTTGCATAGCTTCGATTCATTTAGGCCTCCCAATAATGGTTAAATTTTTAGTTTCCTGAAAGGTGAGATCATCCATTTAGACCATCCTGTTTTTGACGTAATTGTCCAACGTGGAGGAGAAATCTGGTTCAGGCCTTCCGTTTGTCTTATCATCAGTGACAGCTGGGTCAATTTTCTCTTCTGGTGGGTGTGCTTTGTTCCTTTTGGAAAATGCCTGGCTGATTTCTGCATGCGTTCTGTTTTTGGTCTCAGGCAAGACAAAGTATAGGTACGTAGCACCTGTGATACAAATTGTAGCAAAGACTAGGAAACAGTAGGTGTCCAGACTTCTCTGTGGAAAAGGCAGAGACACAAACCATCAAATAGGCAGTCAGTAAACTTGCTGTTAAACCATCTCTACACACATCTTTTAAATAGCTCCATATTCATATACCAACACTCCTAGACAAAACACCATGTGTGATGCTGGCTCTCCAAGGCAAATGTGCTCTACGTGGAGTGTTCTCACATGAGGCTTGAATAAATCAGCTTCAAACTCTGGTAGAATCGAGAAAATGGCACTTTTGCTGTTGCTGTTGTTGCAAATTTGGCATTTAAAAGTTAATCATCATGAAGGCAAAATGGAATACTTGCTGAATATTAGCTTAAGCTTATATTTACAATTAACCATATTGTCTCCTTGCTTCTGCTGTACATGTGAGGCAAGAACGACATCAAAAGGGAAGAGAAATGCCCCAGTTCATAAGACGAATGTGGAGCATAGACTAGGCCAAGATAATGCCAGGTTTTCTGATATGTAAATGGTCTAACTCACTAATTGATACTCGGAGACAGCTTTGCACAAATAAGAGAGACAAGAAAAAATAGAAACATTTGCTGCAATCACTCTGTTTCATGCACCCTGATTAGTGCTTGGACTAGAATAACCCTGCCTACTGCACTAGACCTTGAGCTTTTCAGTGACTTCGTCACCTCTGTAGCTCTTGCGCCTTATAGGACACACTCAAGAAATGTTTTTTGGAATAAAAGACTTGAACTTCTAGCATGAAGCAATCCTTCTGCCTTGGTCTCCCAGGTACTGGGATTATAGGTGTGAGCCACCACTCGAGAAATAAAAGACTTTCTGGGCACCAGCAATCAGGATTGTGACTACTATATGCAACAAACATCTACTGATCCAAAGATAAGGTGACACTGTCTTTGAATGATACTTCCCAAGAAGCAATATCCAGACTTTAGTCAACTCCATTCTGTCCTTTGATTTGGTACACATTTAGTTTTGGAGAATGGCAGAGTGCTTAAACCTTGATCTCTGGATCGCAACCTATATCTACTGTTTACTAAATCTGAGACTCTTTGTGCCTCCATTTTCCTGATCGAATGGTACATGTAGGGTTGTTTTACGAATTAAATGAGATATTTCCTTTAAAGTGCCACATGCGGTAAATGTACCACACCTGGGGGTGCTTAGCTCTGAGACTGTGCCTTCTGCTAATACAAAGACTTCAAGAGCAATGTGGAGAAGGCGGCGTGTATGGGCTCTGCAGCCAGTCGAGTGGGATTCAAATCCTGATCCCATTACTCACATGTTGTTCTAACACTTAGGATTAAATCAGCCATTTAAGACAGAACTTCAATCCACTGAGCATCTGTTTCCTGTTTGCAACATGGTGATATATACCCACATACTGTTTTGAAGATGAAATGAGATACATCCAATTTTGTATTCAACATCCTCCACTCCCCCACCTGCATGCTGAATGGACATCTGACTTATCAAGTCCAAAGTGGTGCCTCTAAAACTGTGCCTGCTCTATTCTTCCTCGTCTCTGCTGATGGCCCCTCCATCCTTCTGACTGATTCAAACAAAAACACTTGGAGGCAGGTTGAGCTTCTCTCTCTCTCTCTCCCCCTCCACCACCCCTCCATCTCTCTGTGTCTCTCTCTCTTCCACCCACAGCTGCTCCATCAGGAAATCATGTTGTTCCACCTTGAAATACAATCCAAATCTGAGGGTTTGTCACCACTTCTGCTGCAACCCAATTTTGATGCAATTCACCATCATGTTTTGCTTGGATTTTTGCAATAGCTTGTCAACTGATTTCCCAGCTTTTCATTTTAAACATAATCTTAAGATTATTCTTAAGAGACGAGCCAGAGTGATCCTGTTAAAGAACAAAACTGGTCACTCCTCTGCTCAAAACCCACCATGACTTCCTAAGCCACCTGGAGGAAAGCCAAGTCTGAGCATGGCCTCCAAGGCCGCCGACCCTGGTTCTCTCGTATTTCTCTGATCTCACTCTCCTCACTTTCTCTGCCCCAGCTCCACTGCCTTCATGATCTCCCTCCAGAATTGGCCTCAGGATCTTTGCACATGCTGTTCGCTTTTGCTAGAATAATCTTCTTTTAGGCCTCTGGATGTCCTGCTTTCTTACTCCTCTTCATCTGACTTAACGGTCATTTTCTCAGAGAGGTTCTCTTTGACTCTCATTTCTAAATAGCCCCTCCCAGCCCCACTTCCTTGCTCTTCAAAAACACTCACCACTATGCAGGATTATGCTGTGCAATTGCCTGTTTGTTAACTCTCTCCCTACCAAGAGGTAGCTATTTGAGGGCAGGAGTCATCATTTTTCTTGTATTCCCAGAGCCTGTAAAGTGTCTGATATACAGTAGATGCTCTGAGTATCTTACTGAGTACATGGATGAACTGAGCCTCAGAAAGGCTTCCTGCCCTATCTCAGGCTACATGTGGGGCTGCCTAGGACCTGTCTGACACTCACACAGCTGCCTCTTGCTTGGCTTTCTTTTTCCAAGGGACCCGATGGGTGTCACGAGAATTATTCTCACAGTTTCACAAAATTCAACCAAAAACACACAGCTCAGCCCGGCATGGTGGCTCACGCCCATAATCCCAGCACTTTGGGAGGCTGAGGCAGGTGGATCACTTGAGGTCAGGAGTTCAAGACCAGCCTGGCCAACATGGTGAAAGCCCATCTCTAGTAAAAATACAAAAATTAGCTGGGTGTGGTGGCAGGCACTTGTAATCCCAGCTACTTGGGAGGCTGAGGCAGGAGAATTGTTTGGACCTGGGAGGTGGAGGTTGCAGTGAGCTGAGATAGCACCACCACACTCCAGCCTGGGCCACAGAGTGAGACTCCACTTCAAGAAAAAAAAAAAAAAAAAAAGAACACGTGTCTGCTGCAGCCATTTTGGGAAGGAACACTTGCTCTCTCCCTCAGGAGTGTCAGGAGCAAAGTTGTAAGATGGTCAGGGTGAGGCTTCACCTCCTTGGCCCACAGAGGAGAAGTTCTGTTTGGTCCCCACTATGGTCTGACTGTGTCCCCTAAGATTCATGTGTTAGGACTTAAATCCCAATGTGATAGTGTTAAAAGGTGGGGGCTTGAGGAGGTTGCTATGGACCTTGTGAAAGGGCTGGAGGGAATGAGTCAGGCCCTTTTTGCTCTTCTTGCATCTGAAGACGCAGCAACAAGATGCCATCTTGGAAGCAGAGAGCAGCCCTCACCAGACACGGATTCTGCTGGTGCCTGAGACTGCCCAGCCCCCAGAACTGTGAGGAAATCAATTCTGCGTTTATAAATTATCCAGTTTGTGGTATTTTGTGATAGCAGCACAAAAGGAATCAGAGAGTCCCCGCCCCTTGGAGATTATTGCCCTTCTGTGGGGCCTGGAGCCTTCAGGAGGCACATGCTGTGATGGTTAATATTGAGAGTCAACTTGATTGTACTGAAGGATGCAAAGGATTGTTTCTGGGTGTGTCTGCAAGGGTGCTGCCAAAGGAATCAGTGGGCTAGGAGAAGCAGACCCACTTCAGTCATCTGCCAGAACCACCTAATCAGCTGCCAGCACTGCTAGAATAAAAGGGTGGAGGAACGTGGAAGGACTCCTGGCTGAGTCTTCTGGCCTCCATCTTTCTTCTGTGCTGGATGCTTCCTGCCCTCAAACATCGGACTCCATGTTCTTCAGCATTTGGACTCTTGAATCTACACCAGTGGTCTGCCAGGGGCTCTTGGGCCTTCAGCCACAGACTGAGGCTGCACTGCTGGCTTCCCCACTTTTGAGGTTTTGGGACTCAGACTGGCTTCCGTGCTCCTCAGCTTACAGACAGCCTATTGTGGGACTTCACCTTGTGATCATGTGAGTAATAAACTGCCCTTCATATATGCATGTATCCTATCAGTGTTGTCCCTCCAGAGAACCCTAATACCCATGTTCACTGCCTTCCCTGTCTTGCACACAAAATTAGGAGCCACAATCCTAATCCCTAGCTCTGCAGACAATGGCTCTTAATAAGGGACCTTGGTAGCAAGGTGTTATGAGTCTGGCTTAAGGAGGAAGAGAAAGGAAGGAACTTAACACAATGAAGATTTACTCTGATCAGTTATGGAGCCGGATCTTCCGTGTGCAGGCTTATTTGTTGCCTCTGAGAAACAGATCTATTTGATTTCTCTTTACAGAATAGAAGATCAAAATGGAGTGAGGTCATGCTACTTGCCCAGGGTCATGCCATTAGGAAGTGGCAGAGCCGGGAGTAAAACTCGCCTGAGCCGCACGGTCTCCTGTTGGAACAGGGCTTGGGCTGGAGAGAAGAGAATACGAGGCTAATGATAAGAGCAGGAACTGCTTGTGGATCACTAACGGTGTTGCCTGCTATTGACTAACTTAATGTTCACACTAACTCTAAGGTGTAGCTGCTATTATAGAGGAAGCCACCGAGAGGGCAAAGTTATTGGTCCAGTTTTTCTGGGCTGTGAGGCAAAGGGAAGTCTTGTATCTGGCAATGTGACCCCAGAGCCTGTGTTTGTCATGTTGTGGTCACTGTTGAGAAAGTAAGGACAAGAGAGAAAGTCAGGAGAGTCCTGGCCACAGAGTCAATGGGGGGAAAAAAACCCCAAATCCTCAGTCTACTCAAATAAATGAGATTTAAACAAAAATCAGGGCCAGAGCTGGACAAAGACTGATGGAATAATATGGAGAAGAGGAGTAAAATGGCTTTGGGGTTGTCCCCAAGTCTTCCTGGCTAGGATCTGGAATTTACCCAGGATGTTTATTGGTATCTGCTAGAAATAATTTCATTCCAGGGATCACACGACAATCTGGTGTTACTGCAAGTGTGTGATTGAATTTAATCCGAGAAGAGAAATGCATCTTTAAGCACCTCTTGTATACCAGCAATATGACAGACATTATATCATCTGATGCCTATAGTCCACACTGCAATAGCGCTATTTATATGTTCATTTAAAAAAAGATGAGGTTGGGTATTAGAGAGGTTCTGGAACACGTCCAAGGCAAGTGAGGGAAAAACAGGAG